TTATCTTATATTTCCAAATAAAAAACGAGTGGCTGCTATAGTGACATACAGTCTGAAATGTTATATCCAGTTCCTGAAGAGAGGGTTGGGTACTGGACAGTTTGCATCCATTTAATGAGCTAAATCTGGAATTTTGAGGATAAGATATTTAAAGCTCATGATGAAATCAAAGCATTTTATAAAACAGATGATTTGATTCTCAGTGAAAATTGTCTCAATTTTCTCAACCCATTCTCAATATTTCAAGATACATCTGAGAGAAAGAAAAGTTTTATGAATAGAAATTTAATGAGCTTCTCTACGATATTTTGCAGACAAGAGCATCTCTGGCTTTAATGACGGCAACAAAGTGCGAGTTTCCAAATCTTGAGAAGGACGTTCTGCTTGAGCTATCAGGCCATAACATTTTTTATATGTTATGATCTGATTTGGGGTACATAACTGGGAAGAAGTCAGAACTGCATAACACTGCTAGATGCTGCAACACAAAACTTCTAGCTCCGTCTACTAATGCAAACAAGGTTTCTCAATCCTTACAGATATTAAAAAACAAAAACACAACTGTCATTGAAATTGTCTTACTATCAATAGGTGACATCCCTTCTCACAGTGCTGAACCCAACTGAAAAAAAATCATTTCACTAATAATATTTTACTTTTATGCTAATGATTTATTACCTCTCATGACATGTTTGTCATAATAGCTTGATGTTCTTTTCATTACTAAGTCCTGAAGTTAATAGGAGATACACTTAAAATTTTTCATTTTTAAACACATTTTTTCATGATAGTCAAGTGTGATACGGTAATTTAAAAAATGTTCACCTAAACAACTACCCCAGGATAACATTCTATAATGAGTTGGAACCAAGCTGATGACAAGGGGTTTGATGGGTTAAGCATGGAACGGAGAGAGGAGTTACAGGAGAAATGGAACAATAGAACTTCTCATATTTATGTAACCAAATGCTGAAGACAATAATGTCTGTATGGTATTTAGATTTCACTGGCTAGCTTTAAAAGGGTGATGTAACAGTTTCTCTTTCAAAACTCCGCATTTATAAGATACCAGACTTTTGTCATCTATAACAACCTGAGACGAGACAACAAATGGCTAGATGTCCCTGATGTGGCTGCTGTCTCCCAATCTACACCTGGGCATCGCACTGGTCTCACCCTGGCCTCGGCCTGGTCTCCAAAGTGATGCGTCTGAACATCTGTGACCTCAATTAGGGGTCAGTCCTGCTCAGGGAGCCTTTAGCACAAAGGCCTGGGAGGATGTAAACAGGGGAAACACAAAAATGGGATTATGAAATTAGAGCGTTCTTAAACAAAGGGACGAGGGGAGTCAGGTATTAAGGGACAAAGGTTTCCAACGATTAACGAACATCAGAATTGAACTTCTGTGGAGTAAAAGCTTCGATCACCCAGGGATTTAAGATTGAATTCCAGTTATGTAACCAAGTATTCATTTCATGTAGAATAACCCCCAATTTTGGTAACATAATACTGTCCAAAACAGATGGGGAGAAGAAAAGGAGGGTGTCAGTTGAGTTTTGGGAGTCTAAGGCTCTACCTTACTTTCAGAACCAAGCAGGTTAAAAGGGGTATGCATGTGCAAGCGGAGGGGGTGGGGCTGGGGTGAGTCAACTGCCTGGAAAAGACACCCCGAGTTTCCTTCCTAATTCAGACAGAAGTCTACCTCATCCATCTGAGGTGGACAAGCGTCTATCCTGCACCTTAAAGGCCATGCGTTTCTAATCTAGACACTACATCACAAGCCTCCGTCCTCAAAGCCTCAAGCACAGGTGTTCACTGCTTTCGAGGGCTGAGACTGGGCCCCGTTCAGTGTAGCACTGTGCATGTGTTTGTCACTTTCAGGATGCTCACCCTACTCAGTCTGACGGACATACTTCTCTGGTTGACAGTGACACCATTAGCGAGGGGTCTCAACAGCTATGGTTCCAAATCATACTTTCGGGGCTGCTTTTCACAGATGACCAAATCAGAAACGGGGTAGGAAGCGGAGCTACCTGAAGTGTATGAGCGCGGCTTTTGCAGCTGAGATTTCCCTTACATAAAGAACTGGAAGCAAACGTGTGAACTGCTACAGGTAATTGAGTCGTGCAATCCCAGTGGATGGCTTAACCCTTTCGTGACCAATGGGACACCCGTACAGGGCCTGCCTATATTTTCTGCCTCTGGGGTTCAGTGGGAACCTGCTCTCCCACGTTTAATGTGCACTACCGTCTGGAAGTGGCCTTTAACCTGCATCAATCTGAAGAAATAAACCTCATATCTCACCCACCCTAGCAACAACGATCCCCCTGGGATAGCTGTGCCCCATCAATTCGGTCAACATCCATCCAAGTCTTAAACATGTGTATTTTTCCATATCATTTAAAATGCCTTCCATTCCTGGAAACACATTTTCAAAAAATTCATGTCAGAAGGTAACTCGGTCTTGACAGGGCTTTAAAAATGCCTTCCCTCTAAAGGGAAGTGTAATAAAATCTCTAGATTCTGTTATTTTCTAAGTTCTAACCTATTTTCATTGGAGAGTTGGAGAAGACATATATTGATAAGAGGATGGGTACCCCAAATTACTAAAAATATTTACTTATGATAATAGCAATTCTCCTCTTAAGATATAACTTACACCCTTTGAGTGGGAATTTCTGTTGCCTCAGAGGGAGATCCCCCAACGGATGGTGCTCAAAATTCATGATTTCTCTGAGAGCCATAGCAAAGGACACTTTCCAAAAATACGATTTCCCCTGAAGCTAGCTCTCTCTCTCTCTCTCTGTCACACACACACACACACACACACACACACACACACACACACACACCAGCAGGTTCCACAGATACACATTCCATGGAGCCCTTGCAACTCAGACAACTCTGCTTTTATTTATTTATTTTCAAGTGATGATTCTGTGTAAGCGTTCGTTTGCTCAAGCAGTTCAGCATCTAACAAAGAGCAAGACGACTGTCCTATTGGAATAAAGTATCTTTGAAAGTAAGGCAGAAGCAATTCAACATGGCATTTCTTTGTAAGCATGCCTAGCCTTAATTTAGACAGAATACCTGCTTTAGGTAGCAAGCAGACAGCTTGTTGGTCAGCAGCCTGCACTAATTCATGGCAGGAGATGTTTTCAGGCATCAGGAACACAGAAGCAATGCAGCCAACCAACCAACACAACAAATCATCATGCCGGAAATTCTCAATCAACCCCTGTGACGAACCAGCCCTCGACAAACATGGGACTAAACTCAAAGTAACTTTGAACCCTGTTTTCAGATCTGCAAGTTTGACTCATTAGCGGGTAGTGAAATCCACTTAGTAAGCTGGAGGCAGCATTACTTAAAAATAATATAAAAGGTAATTTGGAGTACCAACGAAGATTCCTTCGTTACAATGGCTTTAATCATTTTTACACACATACCTATGCACATGTTTGTATCCTGAATCACAATGAGCAATATACTTACTGAGAATTGGAAAAACACTGATGCACGTTATAAAGAAATACTGGCTTTGCCAAAGAAACTAGCACATATAATTTGCATCTTGTCCAAGAACGCATCCATCTGTCCACATCCATCTGGCTTGTCCTGATGAAGCCAAGGGAAATAGGACCAGAGTCCGAGACTTGTGATTCACAGCTGTGATTCACTGCTCACCACAAGAACTAGAACTTCAACCGAATGCGGACACCAGGGACTGGTGCACACAGACCTCATTTACCAATACACACACCGAGAAAGATCATGATCTTAGTTTCACAGCCAGGGCCTACTCTTCAATTCGGCAGGTAATGCCACCTGCCCACGCCCACAGCCAGAAAGTGCCAGCGTGGCAATAAACCCCTGCGAACTTGACCGCACCCTGCGTGCCCTGGGCTGGGATTCAGAACCCGGTGCATCGCCACGGATGTTCCCGCGATGGGCTCCTTGGGAACGACAGGGAGGGGCTCTCAGATGACCGTGCCCCGCCTAAGGAAAATGCCACAGTGGACACCTCACTGTTGAAGGGATTCCAAGCACTAGAATGAAAATATTTGGAAGTCGTGCTCTCCCAGCTGAGCGCGCTGCCAGACTGCGCATGTGCGCTGTATGCAAAGGGACAAAAGGTCGCATCTGGGAAGATCTTTGATAGCACCGGACGCCCTGGTTCTGACGTTTGCATTACCTGCTGCCGGCCGGTCAAAGGCCACACCAGGAAGGCCCAGGAACCCACTCATCAGGGTAGGAGTGCTGACGAGTGTCTTAAAGGGACTCCGAGGACTCGTGTGATAACGAGTCAGAGCACTAAGCTGAAACTGTAGTCCACGTGCTGACCCATTAAGCATACAGGCAGATTCAAGAACAGAATCTGTTTTGTGCCCAGTGTTGGTGGAACTATATTCTCCCCTGTGAGGATTCTGTTTTTCTCTTGCGAGAATCTCTGGGTGGGTGAGGGGGGTCCAAAAACTTTGTGAATAATGATTGCACAACTCTCCTCGACATGACCCGGCTGTGGAATTGTATGACACGTGGGTGATGTGCCTATAGAACTCTTTCAAAAGTAGTTGAATACCAAAAACAAAAGTTGGTGGAGAAATCCCATTGCTTTTGAATGCCATTTCCCATGAACTTTGTGAAATACCTAAGTGTTATGACAACTGGGGAAAAAAAAGCCTTGCCTATTTTGTTACCATGAAGAATCACACTGCAGCCATATTAAGTGGCATAATCACTGTTGTGCCTTATTTTTTTGCAAACAGGAGGATCCCCTTTCGAAAGATGCACAATGAAACACACCACAAAGCAAGCACAACCAAACTCGCGGCCACTGCATGGACCTGACTCCCTGGTCCCTATGGAACTGCTGGCGTCCTCAGACCGTGACCTTTAGGGGAGTGGGCAGCCGCCTCTTTCTCCCGAGGAGCTGGTCAGGCAGTAGCCCAGCCATGTCTCTCCTTAACGTTATAATCCAAACTTGATAGTTAATTTACCATTCCAATACACTTCCTGAGGATGCTCCAGATACTGAAGTCGTTTCTGGAAAACATAGGAGAGGGCAAGCTTGTCCTGAAAAAGAGAAAGAAGAAGGAGTTAGTGTTGATGCCTTTGACTTTGGGAAGGAAAAAACCCTGTGATTATTATGTGAGCCACAGCCACCGGAGGCCAGAGAAGCATCACAGACGGGGGTTGCACTTGTTCACAGATTTGCGGCGGACCCTGAAAGCTTCATAGACACTCACTTGCCCCCATGTCGTATTTCTTTCATTTGAATTCCCTGAACCTCATGAGAACAGGAGTTCTGGTAGCACAGTGGCTACGCATTGGGTAGTTTACCATAAGATCAGCAGTTCGAACTACCAGCTGCTCCGCAGGAGAAAGATGAGGCTTTCTACTCCCATAGAGTCTCAGAAACTCCCACAGGTAGTTTTACTCTGTCCGATAGGGTCACTATTGGAACTGACTTGATGGCAGTGAGTAAGCACCTCATGAGGCATAGCAGAGCTCTAGCCTTAGTGTAAGTTGTTTGTTTGGATCATCTTAAAGGTACGTGATCCCTCCATGTGATGGTCTATCTGACTCTGTTATTTAGGCTCCCAGCACACTGAGTATGTTTTGAATTCCGGCCCTTACTAAATCATCTCACTCCCCCACTGAATGATGGTTCCATGTCGAATTCTCAGGTGTCATGCAGAAGACCTAGGTTCAATTCCCGGCCAATGCACCTTATGCATAGCCACCAGGTGCTTGTCAGTGGGGGGTTGCCAATTGATCTGCCAGTGAACAGTCTGATGGACTGCTCAGACTCACTGGATCAGACTAAGATGGACTAGAAGAAAGTATATGGTCTGCTTCCCCCTTGCCAGAAAAAAACAAAAAGCAAAGCAAGGCTCGGCAGCCCCCTGGCAACGAAACCTTTTGTACCACAGCCGGTCATCTAGAATAAAGTATAGGTAGCTGCTTTTCCAGCATCCCAAAAGCATTCCAGTGGCCCCCACTCGGGGCAGCAGGGCCAACTTTGGGAAACACTCACCATTAAGTTGATGCCAACTCATAATGACTACAGACCAGGCTAGAACTGCCCCTGTGAATCCCTGAGTTGATCTTGAAACCTGGAGTTGAAACTGTACCCTGAAGTCATCTTTATACTAAGTATCCTATTAGCCCAACGAGTAAACAAGGCCACCCTTCAGTATTGCATGACTTAAAACAAACAAACAAAATTATTAAAGACCAAATGGTCAACAGTTATTTTAAAGCTTAGATGAGAAGGACGGTGTGCAGGGGGATTAAGTAAACGGAAGTGAAACAACGAGAACAGAACCAAAGTGCTGACACAATTTGAAGACTCTAACCAGTGTCACTGGTCATTAGCACAGGAAGTAAGCACTGGGAGATCTGCTGTGTGGATTCTTCAGGGAGACGGAGAGTGGGATCGAGAGGGAGAGGGCCACCCTTCAGAGTAAAACTGCTCTGGCTCTTTTCTCTGTTTTACCTAAGGACACACACTGTTCACTTGGCAGATTTGTCATCTCAGCCATCTGCCAAGTAAGTGACCACAGAGGGTACTTAACTCACACTGTCTCCACTCTCCAAGACAACCAGTCTTCTGTGACTCCCTGTCACTCGCAACCATTTACATCTGCAGTACGGTTTCAGAGAGGGGTGTAAGCTGCCCTTTCCATCGCCTGCCTCTGAAATGCAGCTTCCTGAAGACTGAGCCAAAGGCTGCGGATTCCCTAACGCACACCTCACATTACTCCACAGCAGCGGAGTATTTTTTAATTTATTTTTTGGCGACAACAATGCACACTTTATTATTGATGTACCTTAATGTACTTTCTTGAAGATTTGAAGTAGCATGAGTAAACAACACTTAACAAGATGTTAACTGATCACAATAGTAGTCTTATTACATAATATTAAATAATAATAAGAACCCTGCTCCTCTAAAATAAAAAAGGAAATGTCACTATTAACTAGGTCTTAGACTCTAATTCATGAGACACGCTATGCCAACATATGTCTTCTTGATTCTCTTCCTATAACAATAAAAATATACCAAAATCCAAAAATATTTTCCCCAAAAGAGTAATTAATCATGTTTGTAAATTAGGAGAGTAGTAAATTAGGAGATTGTAAATTAGAAGAGTTTTCTTAGGGCTTAGTAATATTGCCATATTCATTTTCAACAAGAATATTACATCATTGAGGCTTGAAACTAATTTTTTTGATAAAAAATTTGTTTGACAAACTGATAACTATGAAATTATATGAAAAATTAGTAATAAGATTATTTAGCTGTCTGAAATCAATACCTTTAACAAATTTCATACTACATTACTTTGTTATTTACTATCAGGTCTCTACATCTCTTTTTTTAAAATCATTTTATTGGGGGCTCGGACAACACTTATCACAATCCACACATATATCCATTGTGTCAAGCACATGTGTACATTTGTTGCCATCATTATTCTCAAAACGTTTGCTTTCTACTTGAGCCCTTGATATCAGCTCCTCTCATTTTAATTTTTAATAGGCTATGATTCTGATTACAGGGCTATTTTGGAGTCAAGAGAGCAGAAGATAAGAGATTCAAGCTCTGTGATTATTTTTAGTTTCGCAGTCACCCAGGATGGCCAGCCAATACCTCCACCAGGTAACAGCCTATGCGCCTGGGTATGCATGTCACTTCACAGCATGGATGATCTAGTCTAGAACATAACCGGAGAGCAGGAGGGGGCAAGCACTGTGAAGGCCCACAGCTGTCACTAACCCCTGTGGTTTTCCAGTATAGGACACGCAGTGCCAAACTCAGCTCCCACACAAACCACTCTGGGAGCAGAAACCACTTAGATGCTGCAAGAGAACACTGGCTGCAGGAGAAATCCCCAATGCAGGAGCTGTGGTCTGCGACACGACCGAGGCAGTGGCCACAGTGTAAGACAGCAGTAGGAGGCGGCTGCCGAGTGGGGCAGGTGCGGCCTCAGGCTGCCAGCAGGCAGGCCAGAAGCCAGAGGGCCACCCCTCAGGGCAGTTCCGTCAGGGTTGGGCTAGGGCTGGCAGTTGGATCCAGGTGGCATGCTGGAGGAACTTGTGCAACCCCACGCAGGAGGCTGACGTGGAGGCCAGGGAAAGGGTGTTTGGGAATCATCTTTTAAGGGCAATGGCTGAAGGGAATTTGTAGTCCAGAAGAGAAAAATATATACACTAGAGGTCGGGGAACAGTGGGCAGGAGAGCAGTCTGGAGTGTGTGTGTGTGTGTGGGGTGGGGGTGGGGGCCAGGAGCAGGGAGCGTGGGACTAGTCACCTATCCATGGCCCCACCCTGCTCAGGCCCTGGGCTCTTTCACCGGACACCTATCTCTAACAGTCCATCATCAGCTGTCTGTTCGCTGCCACGACCTGGGACAAGGCCGCGTAGCGAATAGGCGTGCTTGTTGAAGGACCTTTGGAATGTATTAGGTCTTGGAGCTCTCATGATCTCTTTCATACAGTATTTGATTTATTCTGAGGCATTCCAGAGATTAGAAAATTACAAGTAAAGCTGTCTTGCAATTAAAAATAAAAATGCGTAGGGAGGGATCCAACAGCAGCGGGCTCTCCTGGCACAGAACATGCCCCAGAGCTGGGGGGCTAGGGCATGCCGCACAGGGCATGGGGCAGCCCCAGCACAGAGGATTGTTTGACCCCCAGAATCACAGGTGTGGAGGCTGAACAACCGTGCGAGCCTCAGAGGTCAGGCTAGACTTCGAAGAACCAAAATAACAAACAAACAAAGAGCCAATAAAGTTTACTTCCATGATATATTCTATTTGATCCAATATAGCCGAGACGTTAAATTTCAACAGATGTCGGCAGGTCATGCCAGTCCTGCATCATAGCAGCCCCGTGGACTACAGAAGGAACTCCGCCCAGTTCCACGCCACCCTCACAACTGTGGTGGCATTTGAGCCCATTGTCACAGCCAGTGTGTCAATCACACTCATCAAGGGTCTTCCTCTTTTTTGCTGTCCCTCTGCTTCACCAAGCAGGATGTCCTTCTACGGGGACTGTCTCTCCTGACCACTGTCCAAGTATGTCAGACAATGTCTTGCCAATCTTGTCTCTAAGGAGCATCTGGCTGTATTTCTTCCAAGAAAGCGTTGTTTGTTTTCTGGGTGGTCCATGGTGCTTCCAATATTCCTTGAACGACAGTTCCCGGCATCAAGTCCTTGGTCTTCCTAATTCAATGTCCAACTTTCACAGGCACAGCACGTGATTTCAACAGAGTTAAAATGAAAAAATTATGAATTCTTTCCATTCTTGTTCCATCTTGAAGTCTTCAAAAGCTAGGATGTATTTCCCACTTAGAACACAGCTCAACACGGCGGCTGACTTGTCGCGCAGTTAAAAGTGAACTCCAGTCTCATTAAAACAGTACAGCTATGTTAAATCGAAAACGCTTAGCCAGGGCTTTAGTTTCAAAATGAAAGGAGAAGTCCGGGGTCCCAATCCATTGCACTGGCCATGAGTCAGGTGCCCACACACCCCAGGTGGTTGGTAGCTGGCTTATCAGAAGTATGGAATCACCAAGATGACATCTGCCAATGAGACAACTGTACTGCTCTAGATTCTGGGAGCTGGTCCAATGACAGGAGTCTAGAGATCATGAAAAGGAGCCCTGGTGGCACAGAGGTTAAGCGCTGGGCTGCTGATAGATCAGTTGTTCAAACCCATGAACCTCGCCAAGCCAGGTAAAACCTGGGACCTGCTCTCGTAAAACTGCTGCTGCTGTGAGGTGCCACTGAGCCCCCTCCAGCTCCCCCACCCTGTGTACCACGGAACCACCAACGGCCCGGTCCTGCCCCAGCCTCACCAGCGTGGTGTGAGCCCACTGCTGCTGCCGGCGTGTCCATGCGTCTGGTGGGGGAGCTTTCTGTTTCTTTCTTTCTTTTCTTTCCCCCCCTTTCTGCTGCTTGCATCGCTGACAGCCTGGGCAACCCAACAGGGCAGTCCTGCTCTGTGGGACAGTGTTGCTAGGGAATGAGGGCGCCCTCAGCAAGTGGGCCAATGAGAGGCCAGGCA